GAGCGCCAACTGCACCGTATTAGTGCTGTGCGCAACCGGTCGAACGAGATTATCGGCCTCACGATCCGCGTCGGCCGGTACATTGAAGGCAATGCGAGCTTGATTGCCGACGTTTTGGCGAAGGAGGACAAGAACATTCTCTTCCTCGGCGAACCTGGCTGCGGCAAAACCACGATTGTCCGCGAAGTCTCTCGGCAGCTCGCCAACAAGTACAACGTCTGCGTCGTCGACACGAGCAATGAGATTGCAGGTAGTATTTTTTCTCCTCGAAACAGTAGAAACGAAACCCTAATCACTCTGACATGTAGGCGACGGCAACATTCCACACATGTGCGTAGGCTTGGCGCGCCGCATGATGGTCCCATCACTCGACAAGCAAGCCGCCGTGATGGTCCAAGTGGTCCAGAACCACACACCCGAGGTCATGGTCATTGACGAGATTGGCCGACCGAACGAAGTCGAGGCCGCGCGCACGTGCAAGCAGCGCGGTGTGCGCATCGTGGCCTCGGCGCACGGCGACCTGCGCAAGCTGCTCAAGAACAAGCCGCTGCGAGGGGCTTGTGGGTGGCATTCAGAACGTGACGCTCAGCGACAAGACGGCCAGGGAGCAGCAGCAGAAGAACGACGGCGACTCGCTGCGGAAGATTGTGGCCGAGCGCGGCGGCGCGCCGATCTTTGAGGTGATTGTGGAGCTCCGGCGCGGGCAGTACGACACGTGGCGCATCATTTCGAACGCGGCGGACGCGGTCGATGCCATTTTGAGCAACACTGACTACGAGACCCAAGTGCGCACGCGGACCGCCGACGGCAATGCGTTTTTGTTCAGCACGGAGAAGCTCTAGGCGACCATTGCATATCGAAGCCAACTGTTGTGGCACTTTTCTCCTCGTAACGATGCCGTGTGGCGCCACTTTCGAAGGTGCTCGGCACTTGGTTGTGCGTCGAGATGGCGTAAAGAGCTCTGTTCTAAGGAAGATGCTGGAAAGGGCGTCGAGGTGGCAGCAAGCAGAAGCCGACATTAGAAACCTAATCGGGTGTGACTTCGATGGGGCAAACGTCCTGTCTATGGACGCAGGTCGACTTCGGAAGTTCGTTGGCAACAATTTTGGCGCGTAAACTGGATTCTTGGAAGGTTCCGCGAAGGGCCGCGAATGGTTTGGGCGAAGATTCGCGAGTCGCAAGCGCATCGTTGATTGGTGAGAAGTCGACCAATCGAATTCCACCACCGTGGACATCGCTTGTGGACAAAGTGTCCCTCATGCCCACTCTGCAACTCGCCCCCAACCTAGTAATACCTCAAAATGGTCGCTTCGCCCGAAACCCACGCTTTCGTCAAGGCGACGCTCGCTTCGCACGGCGTCACGGTCTTTAGCAAGACGTACTGCCCCTACTGCACGCAGGTCGCCTTCTCCAACTGCAAAGGGCATTCTCAAAGTGCAATCTCCGAAATAGGCCAAGTCGGTCTTGACGTCGGTTGGCGCGCCGTACCACGTGATTGAGCTCGACGTTGTCCCTAACGGCGACGAAATCCTCCAGGCGCTCATTGAGCTCACGGGCCGCCGCACGGTGCCCAACGTGTTTGTCAAGGACGTGACGATCGGCGGCGGCTCGGACGTTGCGCAGCTCCAGCGCGAGGGCAAGCTCGTACCGCTCCTTCAAAACGCCAGTGTCCTCGTCTAATTTACTTCGCAAGAATTGCTCGCTTTTTCCAACAAATTCCAGACCATTGCACAACTGGCGCGGGTGCAATATGCATGTCAATCAAAAATAGAGGCACGGCGATGATGGATCTTGCGGTGGCAACGTAGACGTGTCGCATGGCATAGTACCTTGACGCTTGGCTCCACCCATATCGGCTCGTCTACGAGCGAGTAGCATTGCCGCATGCGCGTCGTTGAGACTCGCATTGCATGATGTCGTTGCGTCGGACCGACTAACTAAACTCGGTGCTGACGCGTCGTTTAGTCGACGCGAGGACCATTGCTCGTGGAATTCAGTGCTATGCGCCATTAAAACGCGTCCCATTAAAAAAACACGTCCATCATCATACAAAAAGCAAGTATATTTCCGGAAGAAGCGTGTTTTTTTCACGCTTCGATAAAAATCCAAAAACGAAAAGCGAAGGGAGTGCGAAAACCCCTCGGCCGACAGCAGCAGCAGCATGGTCCACAGCTCCAAGTACGACCTCCTCGTCAAGCTCCTCCTCATCGGCGACAGCGGTACCCTCCCATCCTCCTCCTCGGCCGAGGTAGAGCTCATGCGCATGTGGTAGGCGTCGGGAAGAGTTGCCTCCTCATGCGCTACTCGGACGACACGTTCACGTCGTCCTTCATCACGACGATCGGGATC